GCCCCCGGGGGGAGCCCCCTCCGGTTCCACCCCCCTGCCGCTGGACGCCGCCGGCGCGGTCTGCCCGCTGCCCTCGGTGCTCATGCAAGGCAGCGCGCTGCCTCCCGAGGAGGAGCTGAAAGCCACGGTGCTGCAGCTGCGGGAGACCGTCCTGCAGCAGAAGGAGACCATCGGGAGCCAGCGGGAGGCCATCCGGGAGCTCACCGGCAAGCTGAGCCGCTGCGAGAGCGCCGACGGCAAGTCCGCCCCGGGGACGTGGAAGAAGGAGCTGGCCAAGGGCAAGGACACCATGGGTGACCTGCCGCGGGACCCGGCGCAGGTCATCGACCAGCTGAGCCGCACCATGCAGACCCTGAAGGACCGGCTGGAGAGCCTGGAGGTAGGGCCGGGGCGCGGGGTGGGCCAGCCTCCCTGCCCGCCCGCGTAGAAACTTGGAGCGACTTAACGTATAGCAGTGGCTTTGGACCGCTGGGTGGACACAACCAGTGCGCTTAATCTTTATGGAGAGAACTCCAAACTGGCCAAGCCCTGGGAGTGAGCGGCTTGGTTGGCTTGTCTTGTTTTCTTGATTATTTATCTGCTTGCTTTAACAGTAAAAATCCTGAACGGCTCCTCTGTGAATGTGTTCTCCCACTGCATGGGGTGAGATTATGGTTTTCCTGCTTGTTACCAGCTTAGTTTTTGTATTAATATGTCTAAATCTGTCTTTCTGGGAATGTGACTTCATGGGGTTTGAGGTATAAAGCTGATGTCTTGGGCAGTAAGACCTCGGCATATGGTGCTGAACAGACCAGTGGTAATGAGGAGATTGTGTTGGGCAGATTGTGCAGATAAGATGATGTATTTAGAGCTGACATAAAATACAAAGAACCTAATTCTATATGCTTGTGAACAGAAACGGGATTTGGTCCAAGCCCACCGATAAGTGATTTCCATGAGCCTTTGGACAGTGCCCATGGTTGAGTGGCACGCATGGAAATATTTTAGAGAGAGTATTCCCGCAGGAATCATGCTGGGTGTTGTGTTTTGCTTTACACACCCCAAGAGCTACATGCGTGTCTTCCTGCTCTCCTCCAAACTGTCATTGATGTTGTGAGGATGGTGAGTAACTTCCTAAAGGTTATTCTGTGAGCTCTAAGCAGTCTGGACTGCTTTTCAAGTACAGTTTTGAATGATCTGCTAGTGTAACATCCTTTTATTACTGTTGCTGTCTTTTTGAGTTTTTTTTTAGGGTTGTAGAAGGGAAACACCACTAGAATAATATGGTAGGTGGAACCATTGGTTTCTTGGTATCCTTAAAGATACTAGTGTTATTTGAGAGAGTGTGGTTTTGCTTTGGGGTTTGGGGTTTTTTTCAGTTTAAGTAAAGATACTTTCCCTGGCTAATACTTACAGTTGATCTAAAGAGCATCTGTCTCCTTTACTTTGCAAATCAAAACTGAGGAAACTTTCACTTGGTAAATTTGCTTTTGAAGTAGCTTAATTTTTTATTTAAAAAGAAATAATAGTTTTTCTGTTTACTTAAGTTGGCAATGTCACTTGCAGTAAGTAAAGCAAAAATTCACTAATATGCCACATGTACCCATACTAATGGAAGTAGACCTGGCTTCCTACATTGGTTTTATTGAACTTTAATGTATGAAGGCTCCTTCATATGAAACTCTGGAAGCCTCTAACAAAAGTGCCCTTTTGTTTCAGAACCTGTTTTGCTATACTGCTAAATGCACTGAACATGACAAGTGCTAAAAAGCAATGCCTCTTTTGTACTTGCTGGAGAATCGGTGATCTTACTTTCTTCCCTTTGAATCAGGAGCGTATCCGCATTTCACGGTTTCTGGTTTAGAAATGACAATTTTCTTTTTTCTTCTCATTTCCCCTAAAGCACCAACTCCGAGCCAATGTGTCATATGCAGCACTGCCTAATGACCTTCGAGAGATGCTTCAGCGGAGGCTTGGAGACCTGGAACGCCAACTCCTGAGCAAAGTGGCCGAGCTTGAGGATGAAAAGTCTTTGCTTCATAACGAGACGTCAGCCCATCGGCAGAGGACAGAGACAGCCTTGAATGCATTGCTAGAAAGAGTGTCTGAATTAGAAAAAGGTAATCTGCACATAATCTAAACGTTTCCCCATGCTGATTCATTTTGTTTACTTCCTCCTCCTAGTGCAGTAGTCTAAATGTGGGCCTTGAGGGAAAGACAGTTAAGGTGCTGTACTAAATAGCAGGTGACAGTGCAAATACTTGGATTCCCTTTTTCCGTTTGTCATAGGCTTCCTGCCTCTCTGCATGGCTTTGGCTTTCTGTCTCTTAATTTGGCATATGCGGGTGGTTAGGATGAAATTTGTAGTGTTTGTGGGATGGAAAGATATATAAGGAGGCAAGTGGAAATAGGAAGAAGTATGACATTGGTGTCAGGTAAATACCTAGGTAATGTCAAGTACACATCTAAGTAGAGCTGCCTTTTTTTATTTGGACTGAAAATCATATGGGCTAAATTGCTAAATGTAATTAGCACAACTGCCTTTGGTGTAATGAATGGTGTTTTATATCAGAACCATTTCCTGCTGCTTTGGAAGTATTGCTGGTGGTCTTTCCTTTTGTTGCTGGTTATGCCTCTGGGTAACTGCAGGTACTTGAATTGTGTCCTGTCCCAAGCGTATAGCCTTCAGAGTTTATAGTAGATTACACATGGTGCCACTGGGGGACACTCTCTTAATCCTAGTAATTTATTCAGATACTTAGATTAATTATTACTGAGATCTCTGTGCTTGAGTAGTCTGTTTATTTGAATCACAAATGCCCATGGAAATGAGCTAAAGAACAGAACTATCTTTCTGTATTGACTATATGTACCTACAGAGTGGACTGTGTAGGACTAGATTACCAGTAAATACCACTGCCCAATCTTTAAATGATTTGCCAAGGTGAATAGGTTCTCTGCTTAAAAGCAGCTTAATGGACATGCTTTCAAAATGGTGCAAACACACATCTCATGAATTTTAAAATGAAGCCTAATGGATCCATTTGTGTAATATTATATCTAATTTTTTTTTTTCATTTAAAAAGTGTGAAGGAGGGGGAAAAGGGAAGGAGGAAGAAGAGATCTTCTACTGGCTGTCATTTAATATTCCCTGAGAGCTAAGATAAAGCCTAAACTGCAACTAAAGTTCTGGAGAATTAGTGGCCTGTTAATGTCTTATGTGGCAAGAATTGCTAGTCCTTGTCTCTGAAAGATGTGACTCATATCAGCAAGTCATCAGAAAGAGAAAGGGAGTTGTGGGAGAGCAATAATGTGTGATTTAAATAGGTTAAAAATAGCCTGTTCCCACTTTTTTTTTTGTATGTGGTGAGAGAGGGCTGTCTTCTAAGTCTCCAGGGAAGTGAAGAATTTGGGCCAGGAACCAAGACACAGGCTTTCTTTTAGTTGTGTAATTTGCTCTCTATTACAGTGCAGCTTAGCTGTTCTGTGCCTTTGGTTCCTCTGTCAAATCAAAGTGAGGGTAATCATGATCTAAGAACTTAACGATTTTGCAGATTAAATGCAGTCAATATTTGAAGTGATCTGGCCTCTTTTGACAATAGTAGTTCTTGTGTTGCTTTAATTTTAAAGGCTGTATTGTTTAGCATCTCTTCCTGACAACTAACTAGAGCGTCATAAGCTCCTCATTGTCCTGAGACTAAATAAATGGAGGAAAAACTATCATTATAGGGTGGCACTATGAACTTTGGCTTTTTTAATCTCTTGTTGTGACAGCTGTCTTCAGTTACCAGTGGGGCAGAAGAGTTTGAAGTTTGTACAATTGTTATGATTCCCAAAGTCTTCTGGTAATTCCTTCACCGGTTGTCTCCACTGACAGCAGTAGATGATGCATTAAAAAGCAGGACTGGGTGGAGGAATAATCCTGCAACTAATAGTGCCTGGACTTACATGTGATTCCTAGCTTTGCTGGAGACATGAACAGGTCACTTGCTATGTCTAAATCGATTTTCTCCATCTCTAAAAGGGAATAACAATATTTCTTGTCCATCTTGTCCAAAAATAATTCAGATTCTTTAGGAAAAGGATTGTCTTATCCTGTGCATGTGCCCATTGCCTGAAACAGGAGGATCTTGTTATCATTTGGAGTTGTGGATGTTTTTCAGTTTGTTCTCATGACTTGAAAAAGCAAAAAAGATTAATATTGTTCATTCTTTTCCAACCCATTATTGCTTTGTTAAGCTCTTTCACAGAGTGACTAATGCTCTTAAATGGAGTATGTTTCTTTTTTTTTATATGTGAGATTTGTTGTACCAGCCTAGTGGAGGTTGCTCAACATTAGCCCTAAGGCCCTGGGGTGTTTGGTTTTTTTCTTAAAATTTAGAATATTTCAGTTTTTGGTCTGTAAATTCCTCAAGACAGATGCAAGCATCAGACAAGCTTTTTCTTCTTCCACCCCCTCATTCTGTGAAAAATGCAGTCAAAACACTTCAGTTGCTTCTGAGAATGGGAACTGAGAGAATGCCAATGGTTTAAAAATAGCATATGAAAATTGTGGCAACCTTTTGTGACAAGAGCTCATCGTTTGGATTGGATTGTGAAGTTTGGCAAGGGGATTGAATTTGTTTCAGGAATGTGAGTAAAGGAAATGAGCAGGACTCAGAAGAACAGGTTGCTAAAAGGTTGAGGGTGACACTCCACTACAGAACTGTGGGGTTTTATTTTGTGCCACAATGTGGGATTTGTCTCTTAATACTTAATTCTAGAAAATTACTTGTAAGCAACTACATCAGGAGTATACACAAACTATATAATAGAGTATTGCAACTTTAGAAAGTTTTGGTCTTAGGAGTTCTAAATTTTGTAAACATCTCTGGAATGTTTCGCTGGTTTTATCACATCTTTTAGAAAAAGGTGGATAATAATTTCTGCTTTTATATTTAAACAAATGTCTAATGTTTTTGTAGTTCATAACTTTATATTGCATTTTTCTTCAGGTCACTTTGAACTTCAGCTTTATATTTTTGTTCAGATCTCCTCCTGGTTTGTCTACAGGACAGAAATCAGTTCTACTAAACTTAACTCTGCTTTCTGGAATATGTCAGCTTTTTCTTATTTCAGATTGGCCACCCAAAATGAGAGTATCAACCTGTTTCTCAGCCTGCTATCTGTGAAATGGAGATGCTGCTGCTAGCTCCCTGTGTAGCAGTAGTAGGAGAAGAAATACTGCTTTTTAAGCACTGTGCTTTAATAATGAATATACCAGAGAATCCATGTTTAGTAACAGTAAATACCTTTTAAAACAGTTTGAATTGTTTGAAATAGGCAGGCCTCCAGTCATGAACTGAGCAATGCATAAAGAAAATATTTAACAGCCTCTCATTAGTTGTCTGCCATCTATTCTTTTGCTCTAAATGAACAGGAAAAATAAGCTAAGTAATTAGCATGATGTGTATAAAATTGAGTTGTATTTTTCTGCGCTGCAAAATCAACATTCAGTAATACTACTTCAATATATTTTTTCTGTACCTCTCTAAAGTGATTAAAATTCCGAACATTCTCAATATCAATTATATTGTTTCTTAACCTGAAGTACAAATATATTGTTTTGTTTAATGTTAAAGGTTTGTCTTCCTCAATGTAATTCTAGGTAACAGTGCATTTAAGTCACCTGATGAATTCAAAGTCTCCCTTCCTCTTCGCACAAACTACTTATATGGGAAGATCAAGAAGACTCTGCCGGAGCTGTATGCCTTTACTGTATGCTTGTGGTTGAGATCAAGTGCTTCTCCTGGAATTGGCACTCCATTCTCATATGCTGTTCCTGGGCAGGCTAATGAAATTGTCCTCATAGAATGGGGGAATAATCCAATTGAACTGCTAATTAATGATAAGGTGAGAATCTACTAACTCTTCTTTATTGTCTACATTATCAGAATAAGGCCCAAACCCTTGGTACCTACCTCTCTAGTAACTCTCATTCTCTCTGAGAGAAGCCAGCTCTGGGCCTTTGAGATGTCTGCTTGTCTGTTGTCCATCTGTCTGTTGGAAGTTCATAAAAGTACTCAAAACAAAATCAAATGGTACATATGTTTGCATGTTGAGACAAAGTAGCATGACATCTAGATGTGCACATGCTTATGCTTGTCCTCTGAATGTACAAGCAGATCTTGGCTTTGTGTTTGTTTTACGAAACAGAAGGAATATTTGAAGCCACACTATTACAGAGCCTGTGAATCTAAGCCAGTTGCAGTATTTCTTTCTAATACTACAAGTTCAGATATGTTAAAATGAATTTGGCAGAAGGCAGAGAGCAAAAAGCATGTAATTGTGGCTGGTTTTGGTATGTTTAAGTGACTGAACATCAGTTTAAATACAATTTTTTCAGACGTTAGATACAAAAAGCAACAATTGTCTCGCACTACTTCATACCACTGATGGTTTCTGATAAGCTTCAGGATGAGGCTTGAGGAAAACAAGACCCATTGAAACTTGACATTAAAACAGATTATAAATACTTCCTTTCTTCCCACCTTCAGTTTGGGCTAGCTATGAAATATAAAGAGCTGATGGTAGCTAAGTGACTTGATTTGAATCAGTGTGAGCAAAACTAGATTCTTAACTTGGCCAGGCTGCAATGTAGCATAACTTGCCTTCAGGTGCCATCCCTTGTTTCCTTTGGCCTGTTAGGTTTCCTAGTAACTCGCTGCTCTCTGAGGGATCAGGTGTTTACAGATCTACAACACAACTCAGGTGGCTCAGTCGTGTGGCTGGTTAAGGGCTTTTAACAGTCCTATCATCCTTCCATATAAATAAAAGTGAAAAGGTGATTATTTTTAATGGTTTGTGGAAGAGAAGGAAACTTGAGTCTGCTTATCCTTAGCAATAACTTTTTCTCTTCAATATTACATCAGTACCACTAATGTTCTGTGAGGCTTTTTTCTCCCACATCACAGCTGTTGCATAGCCCACTGGATTTGTGTCTTTATGGTGACTTGAGTAAGTTTTCAGATCAAATTCCTAAAGGAGCATAATTCCTCCTTATTTGGAGCCCTACATAACAGTTCCCCCAAGTTTTACTGGAAGCAGGCACATCCGTTTGTCAGAGTTGCTACTGCAAATGGTGCAGGCAAACCCCAGATTTTAAAAGAAACTTAATGTGAGCACTGAATGGAAAGTAAGGACTAAGCACTGAGATTTAAACAACAAATGTCACAGATTAATATGCAGGATCAGTGGACTGTTAGCAGCTTAGACTCTGGTACTTGTGTGACTTGAGTCTAGATGAAAGAGGCTCACATGTAGAATAAAAAGCATGGCTGTATTCCTGAATACAGGAGAGCTGGGGCAAAGTAGGAAGATGTGGACTAACTTCTACCTCTGAAGTTTTTTGCTTCTGAGGACAGACTAAATACTGTCCCTTTTTAAATGTTGTGCTTGAACTGGTAGATGTGGTTTGCAACATGTAGTATTTCTTTTTTTTGTAGGTTGCCCAGCTCCCTCTCTTCATTAGTGATGGAAAATGGCATCATATCTGTATAACATGGACAACCAGAGATGGAATGTGGGAGGCTTTTCAGGATGGTGAGAAGCTTGGCACTGGGGAGAATCTTGCTCCTTGGCACCCAATTAAACCTGGAGGTGTCTTGATCCTGGGTCAGGAACAGGTGAGTGAATGACAGTGTCTTCCAGGGTTTTTAAAAAAAAAAAATCAAAACTCCCCAAACAAACAGCAGCTGTGAGAAAATTTCCCTTTGTTAAACACTTGGTCCTGCTGTATACACAGTATCAGAAAGATTAAAACGAAGCAACAAACACTTAATGCATTCACACATTGGTATATTTTGTTTCATTTATTAAATATTCAGAATATTTGTTGCAGCTATTCCTGTTCCCACTCTTAGTGCTCCAATGTGTAACTTCGTCAGCGATCTGAATAATGCCTTAAATTAAGTCCTTTGAGCTAGATTGCTGGTAACTAGCAATGTGGCCACTAAAGTTACAGAAAAGGACAGAATTGGCAAGCACTGTTGTATGAGCAGTCAGAATGGAGCTTGCTGAAAGCAAACCAAGTATAATTGCTTTGATTTATTTTAATTTTTTTAATTGAGGCCAAATTGACTGTCCCCTGTAGCAGTTTACTGTTTTTTTTTTTTTTTTTTCCCCCCTTCCTTTCCTCTTTATCACAAGAATAGTAAGAATGTTAGTCCTTGAGCCCCAGAATAGACCAAGGAAAGTGTGTGTATGGCGGTGAGGGGACCAACAGCTGTGGGCACTGGAGTGCTTGTGGGTATATCAGGATCTTTTATAATTTGGCCTGCTACAGAGAATTCCCTGCAGACTGAATTCTGCAGCTTTTCAGGTATGTAACATATTTTTAGAATAGTGGAGTCTGTCACTCATTCAGAATTTGATGTCTACTTTAAAGACGAGTCTGAAGTCAAAGGTACGAACTCAAAATCAGACATTTGGTGTTTCATTAAAGACGTAGGTAAATAACTCTCCTAATGCAAATGCTAATAAAGTTTGAATATTAGTACTGCCAACAGAAAGCATTCAAGAGGTTAAGGATAAGTCCTTTTTGAATACTGAGAAAACCCCAAGGATTTTGAATCTCGGCTCTTCTAGTTAACATCTCATTAAGCTATCACCTATGTGTTGTGTGGCTCTTCGCATTTTTTTCTCTACCTGTTCTTTGTATGATTGTACATATACTAAAAAAAAAAATTGTAATGAATAGCAGGAAATGGCCTTTCTCCAGGATTCCCAGGTTCACAATGGGGCAATAAAAGAGTTTTGTCCTGATACTGATTGTAGTAGATACTTATCCATGACATAAATGACAGAATGGTAAATTCAGAATCCTAATACGCTCTGCATAGCAGATGCTCCAACTCGCTATTAAGTGGCTGACAGCTTTTCTGTAACTCCCTCATGGCATTTGCCTGTACTGTGCTTGGTTCTATCCTATGCTATCAGTTTCATGTTAGTGTGATCACACAGAATATGTGATTTCTGTCCTTGAGTGTTTGCACTTAGGCTTATGCAGTAGCAGTTTGAGTTAGTCATTTGGTACAACCAGCCTGTGTATTTAGATCCAAAGATTGCATCTTATACGCCCTGCAGACAGTTGGTCAAGGGCTGCAGTTACAGTTTACTCCAAAAGTTTTATGGCTATAGATTAATCTTAGACATCTATGAGGTTCTTGCTGAAGTTGCCCTGTGCCAAGCTTGCAAAATGGCTCCTAAATTAGCCTCAATATTTAAAGCTGCCTTCCTCCTCTACTGCTTGGGGGCAGGGTTAGTTATGTATAGCCTTTGTGTGATGGTGTACAGTCACTGCTGTTTGCTTTGAATTGTTTTGACACATTTCAGATTGGAGCTTTTAACTGTTCTGTAGAACATCTTGTGCAAAGTAGCCCTTCTAGAAACTTGACGTTGTTTGTCTCTGTGACCTTGCTCTGCACCTCCTTTTGGCAGTGTGGCTGGGGGGGAGGGTCTTCAGGTTTGAAGAAGAAAATACTGAAATAACCTTCTCATCTAATCCTAACTCTTGTGTGCCTAAAGGACACAGTAGGAGGAAGATTTGATGCAACTCAAGCCTTCGTTGGGGAGATGAGCCAGTTCAATATATGGGACAGGGTCTTAAAAGCTGAAGACATCATGAATATTGCTAACTGCTCTACCAACATGCCTGGCAACATCATACCCTGGGTTGATAACAACGTTGATGTGTTCGGAGGTGCTACTAAATGGCCTGTGGAGACATGTGAAGAGCGTCTGCTAGATTTATAGCTGCAATTGTTTCCCATTCAAGTGCCCCCTTTAGTAGGACAATCTTCTGTGCGATCTAAAGCACTTTTTTTCTCTCTGTCCTTCCCCAGTCTTAACTCTTCAAAAGAATAAAAAAATTGAGTAAACTGCCTCAGTGCAAAGATAGCTGCTAGTCTGGGGCATTGAGCCTGACAATGAAAGAAGCACTTCTTGGCTAGAGCGGCCCTTACTTTCTTATGGCCTGATCCAAAAATATGCTTTGGCCTGCAGCAGCCTTTCGGTTAGGCCGGACTTTAGTACATCAGTTCTTCTGGAAGGGAGAGGGAACAGCTGTGCACGTTAAGTATAGTACTCCTTTTGATAATGTGCAGTGCTGACAAAGCGCTAAGATTAACCGGCTAAATGTGAATCCTTCCTTCCAGTCTATCGTCTCCCCTTTGAATTGAAGCCATTCTTTTTTAGCCCTTTTTAAAGAAATCACTTAATCCTTGCACTACAGTGGTTATGGTGCAACTATGGGTGGAGCAGAACAGCCACTGTCTGAGTGCAAGGGTCTTGCTTTTTAATTTGCAGATTAGAAATCCTTATTTTATGATAAGGAGGCAATGTATTTGAGAGATGCTGTTGTAGTTCAGTTTGAAGAATGGGCTGTGCAATCAGCATAGCTCCATTGACACAGAGATGCTTCAGGTAAGGTTCTGTACCAAAGCCTGTCTTTCGCTAGCCTGGATGGATGAAAGATTGTATTTGTATTTTCTGTAGGCTGAATGTACTGAATTTTTAGTGACCTGGCTTGTAAACTTTTCTCTGTTTCTCTTGCTTTAGTCAATGTCTTTATTTTTTTAAATATACAAGCTGTGATTAAGTGAACTTCCATTTTGTTTTGCTTTGAAAGGCCTTTTTATGAGCAAGTGCCAAAGTTCAGTTTCTGCTTGCTGAGGATTGCTACATATTTTTGCAGCATAAGTCTTCTGCACTGTTTTCTATGTTATTATAATGGTCCTATGTAATATGAAAATGTGCTGTTTTTTCAATTCTTGTTGACTGTCTCTTCTGTAAGCACTGGGCTGACTACTATATTTTTTTTATCATTTTCTCTCAATATTTTGCAAACACTGTTGCTGTTTCCTTGGCATTGAGGAAAGAGTTAATACTTTTGTTATTTAAAAGAAAAAGTATTTAAGGGGGGGAGGGGGAAATTTATAAAGCTAAATATCATATTTTATTTTTCATATGTTTGACTTGTAAGAATAATATGGTGACAGTCCCATTTGTAGGATAAAGTTACATATTTCCATTAATATGTAGTATGCTGTTCTTAAAAGAAAATTCTTATAATGAACTTTTAATTAAAATGCACTGTAAAATGAGTCTTTTAATTCCTTTATAGTCAGACAAGACACTGCATGGTCTCTTTTATAGCTGCTCTGAGTTCAGCTCCTCTCTCTCTAGACTGATAGAAGTACAGTCCTGTAAGAAGTTATCTTTATTCCCTACATGTCTTACATCACAGTCTTCAACCAAAAGGGGATTAGGTGTGTGTGTGTGTAACCTTAACTGGGGAGAGGCTCTCCACAGCTGGATGTGGTGGGGTGTCTGAAGCTCAGGCTCAGACCTGTCTGCTACCACTGCCCTCTCATAGGCACTAGTCTATGGCATGGGCTGGGATACAGCAGTATCATTGCAGTGGGATGAGATGCAGAACATATGTTCATTTTTATTTTTTACAGTTATGAGAAACTGACCCCTTCTGGGTGACCCCTTCTGGGTGAACTGATCAACAATGAGATGACTTGTTGAAATGTGATAACAGAGGCACTACACTGGTGCAAGTTGTGAAGTACAGTGTCCATGGGTTCTGACAGTAAACCAAATGCTCTGCTTGGTAAACTAACAAGTTGACAGTGCTCTGCATAAGAGAACAACAAGTTGGGGCAGAAATGTTTATCCAGCTCTGACATCCTTCTCTGGCCATGGAGAGTTTGAAGTTTCTGTGAAATGTTACACAACTCGATTTCAAATGTTCTCATTGGCCATAAAAGAGACACCCTGTCCCCCTTGACCCACGTCAGTACTTTCCCTGCCCTAAGAAAAAACATGAACCAAACCAACCAAAATCCCCTCAGTGTACAAAAAATCTGTGTCCTAAAATCAGGGAGAGTGAAAAATTCTTGTCTCACATGGGCTGGAGACCAGGAGAGGCATCAGCCCTCCAGTCAATCCACCTTTCTTTATCAGCTTTTTTCAAAATGAACTGAAGTCTGGAGTTAACTGTGCTGAGGTCTGCCCTTTCAGGAAACAGCTTTTGCATATTTCACTCTGATCTTGAAAGGTGCAATGGTGAAATTGTCTTGGACACTTGCCTGTATGGCTAGGAGCCTCTGTGTGGACGTGGTCTATCATTTTAAACACTAGTTCAGTGTTTGGATTCATTTGTTGGTTGAGGGAAGCAGAGGGTCTTTACACTTCAATTGGCCACATTGATCTTTATTTAGAGTTGTTCAAACACATTCCCAATCTTAGGTCTGTCTTTAGCATTGACCTTAACAATAAACACCTGAGTAGGAAGCCCGACCTGCATGGGGAGGTGGTGGTAGGTGCGGGCTGTAATGGCTGTTTTGGCACAGTGAGAACAGCTGGTCTGGGGGTTGTTGTTTGGTGGGTGCTGGCGAGAGGCTGGCTGCTTTTGTCCTCAGGTTCTGCTCAGGCTGTGTGAAGGAGGAGGGTAACAGAACTGCTCTTCAGTGTGGAAATCGATACTAAAAGTTGACTTTTTTCTAAGGTATGTCAAGGTGCTCAGGTGAGAGGGTGTTTGGGGACATTCATCCTGTTGCAAGCTGATCTAGAGCTGGGATGGATCTTTTCCTCTAAAGATAAACAACTTAGTCTTCTGGTTTTTGGTTGGTTTGTTTTTCACTTATTACATAACCAAGACGGTAGGGATTTGAGGGGAGGATTTTGTTGTTTTTTTGGTTTTTTTGTTTTTTTTTAAACACAGACTCTTTAATAAAAGCAAAAGCTAAGGAGTTTATATTCCATTGAAAAGGGTTTTTTATTTTTTACTATATATATTCTTCTTTTGTGCAATAGTACCTTTTTCATTACAAAGAAAAGATGTGTATTGATTTTTGTACCTCTATCTTGTGATGAAAAGCTACGGCTGTTATTCTGCTGCTCCACATTCTGGGAGTCACATGTTTTATGTGCATGTATAAGCAGATGGCAAAACAGGAGTAAATATTACCATCTTCTAGCATCTATACTGTTTATGGAGCATGGAAGTGACAAGACAACTTTCAGTTCCCAAACTACTGTGAATACACAGAAGTAATAACTTATGGAAAGCTGACTGACAGCTACAGCACTTGGAATATGCGTAATGCAGATTTCTAGAAAATCTGTTTCTGTTTAAAAACAGACAGAGTTAGGACTCCTAAGAGTGGTATCAGTGATCCTAACAAGTCAACCTCTTGGGAGCTGTGAACTGGCTAGGTCTCCAGATAACTTCTTGAGTGTGAATGCTGTTCAGTCACTTTCTGTATTGCGCTGTTCTGTTTGTATATACTTGACGCATTTAATGGCTGTTGAGCAGCAAAGGATCTAGCATTTGGTATGTTTAAATCCAGGTTATATATCTTCAGAGACAGCCAAGTTTTTTTCTGACTAACTGGCTGGCCATTAGAAAATGTAGATCGTATCATAGGCTTGGTATGTGCTTGAAGGCTTTGACACACTTGCTGTCTAACGAGAGCCGAATGTTGCTGAGGGGAGGAGGACCACGTCCGTGCCTCTGGGATCCTGTCGTGAATGGGAGACCGACTCCCTTGTGCAGGTGTCTTTCTCCTGGGCAGTGCTTGCTCGCTAAACTGTTAGTTTAGGCCTCAGAAATGCAAGGAAGACCACAGAAATTCTTGCCAGTAACACTCTACCCTTATTTTTACATACACTTCACCAATGTTCAAATATGTGAAACTGCCAGGGAGAAGCTGATTCTGTTTTGCTCCAGAGAGCTCGTTTCCCTCAGGCCTTTCCTAAAGGCGCAATGCAGGCCAGTAGCAAAGCTGATGCTTTGTGTTAGGTGTTTAAAGCTGGTACTTTCTCAATCAGGATAACTGTTGGTCTAAAAATATGTTTATGTAACTACAGAGTAGATGTATTTCTTGTTTGCTAATGGCACCTATCTCTATGTATAAGGATTCTTCATCCAGCTGATTTCAGTTACCTAGGTTGGGAGGGAAGATCAGCCTTATTCTACTGCATCATCCTTGGGGGGACTTGGATCTTGCTAGGAGTGCAGATACAGGAGAAAATGGCCTGGCTGAGGCTTTTACCACAGTTGATATTCCCTTGCTGCTGCTGTAGGAATCTGAGACTAGGCACAGCAAGGAGCCTGCTGAAATAGAGATCTGCTGATGAAGAGTCACGTACCATCAAACTCACGTCAGAAATGAAAGGTCTCTATTGGTAGCCAGGGAATCTGGGGGTTTGGAAGGTGTTGCGGGATTTTTCCAGAGATCTTTCACCAAAATGTCTTTTTTTTTTTTTTTTTTTTTTTTTGTGCACAAAGAAAAAGCTGGACCTTGATAATGTTCATGGTTTAGCTGTGAGGCTTAAATAATACATGAGTTTTACAGAGCTAAAAATCTTCTGGAAAGAATTGAATTAATTGCACCCCTGGCTATAGCTGTTTCTAAAAGGCTGCACTTAGAAAAGTATAATTTTGCACAAGGAGTTCAAAGGTCCATTTCTCTCTCCACAGGAGGGCTGGGCTGATGTTTTGGCAAAGCTTCAAATACAGAAGCTCCCTGATGGCTTGCCACTGAGAGAAATTGTTTTATTTATTAAAGATGCTTTGGCGTTTCACCCGAGGTGGCTCCCAGCACATGTTTGTCCAAGCAGTTTAGCTCCTAGTGGTGCTGTTCCCAAGTGCTCCTGCCACGTGGAGGATGCTGAGCCATCTACTTTGCGGTACCCACTTGTTCCCTCGATACCGGTCAGCTTGTACTGGATCACAGGGAGCA